TCAAAAGGACCTTAAAGCTCATCCAGTTCCACGGGCAGGGACACCAAGCCCCTGTGTCCAACCTGGCCTTGAACACTGCCAAGGATGGGGCAGCCACAGCTTCTCTGGGCACCCTCACAGGGAAGAGCTTCTGCCTAAGAGCTCATCTCAGTCTCCCCTCGGGCAGGTTAAAGCCATTCCCCTTGGCCTGTCCCTACAGATCCTTGCCCAAAGCCCCTCTCCAGGTTCTGTGTAGGTCTCCCCTGAGCCTTCTCTTCATTCACATCCACCAGCATCTCTCCTGATGCCAGCCAGGCCAACAGCGTGGCACAGGGCTGCTCCAACCCCACCGAGGTGGGAAGGGACCACCACCTGGGGAGGATGGGCACCAACTGCATGGTCTCAGCATCACCACTCACCTTCATGCACCGGGCTGGGGTGGAGGGAACCTTTCCACAACCCCCTCAACCTTTTCTCTCCAACCACCCTTCCAACGGCTGCACCGTTACAAGTGAAATTAGTGGGCATTGTAATTATAACTATCAGGAGCAGATAAGACAAGTTAAATACCAGCTACCTAGGGAGAAATTATTATGCCAGCCAGGAGGATCCAAATGCCAGAATCCATGGCTGTAATTTCCCTGAGTCGCCAATTACAGCTCCACCACGCAGCGAGTTCTACCTTGGAAACAGCAGGTATATATTTAGCTACTCCAGAAAACTTTTTGGGGGGAAAGAGAAGGAGGAAAGGCCAGTGATGGAGCAAGTCCTCACTAATCTGCTCTTCACTAATCCCCTTGCTTTTAGCATCTGCACACAAAAAGCAGCGACTCTCTTCCCACTTCCCAGCAAGGACTTAACTGCGGAGAGACGGGGCTGCATTACCGTGTCTTTTCTATGCTGGTTGCACGGGTGAGTGTCACAACCCCTATTTAACAGGTAGGAAAACTCAAGGGCTGGTGGTTTGACTGAGCAAGAAGGGGGGGGGAAATCTCATTTCCCAGCTTCCCAAACCTATGGTTAGAGCCTGTGGTCCTGCTCCTGCTGGTTCTACTTTACTCGGGCCTCATTGCGTGCTGGGAAATCAAAGTGCGGTAGATTACTACACCTCCTGTCCCCCCCAAAAAAAAGAGCAGAATTGTCAGGAATAATTAAAACTATAATTGCAAAAATAAATGGAAGAGTGGCATTTTTATTCTACCTTCTTAGTTTTAATTGGAATTGTTCTCATAGTCACTAATTGACAAAACAGAGCCAGGAGCAAAGTCTTGGATGCAAATGAGCAGAGTCACCCTGGTTGTCTGGTCTCCTTGGACAAGCAATAGGGAGGCCAGAAGTGAACATAAAGGTAGAGGGTGATTTGACTTGAAAATCTGCCTTTAAATGCAGGGGGAAAGCCTCTCTGTATTATTTATCTTAGACAAAAGCTTAGTTATACATGTGTTGTACAATCTTAGCACCACCTATGAAAGCTCATTTCTTCTCATCCCCCTCCTCTAACCACACCAGTGCTGTTGGCTCCATTTTACACATGGGGAAACTGAGGCAGAGAGCAAGAAAGGCCTTCTCAAGTCCTTGTGTCCCCACATCGATAGCCAAGGAGCAAACCCAGCACATCCCATCGCCCAGCTATTCCCTCCAACCACTGCATCGCTCTCTTTGCCTTAAAAATAAAGCTCCAATATTTCTTAAACACAGATAAAACTATAAAGCCTTGAAATTTGGAGCAGCTGCTGGTTTATGTCTTTATGAACTGTACTGATGCCTGTTATAAAAGGTCGGCTTGCTGGCGGCACAAGGAATACGATCCCATTTACTCCACATCCCCCATTTCAGCATCAAGATGTGGTACCCGTGGTTCAGCCGTTGCCTGCATCACCCTGAGCTCTGACAACAGCAGTGCCGGTGCTTCCAGCACTGCAAAGCAGTTGGGAGAAAACATAATCCAAGGTTTCTAGCTAGGATCAACCCATTGGGAATTAGTGACCATGCTGGGGACCTGCCAGCGATGCCCCTGCAGCATCCCAAGGGACAGATGCCTGTGGCCCTGCGAGCTGCAGGGCACGCATCCAAGAAGCATCGTGCATAGCAAGCTGATACTCGGTGGCACTCTTCCCACAAGCACAAACTTAATCCTTGTTTCCACATCAAATCCCAGCTGGGAAATGAAAAAGTGACCTTCTTCAACCTCGAGTGTGCTCCTTGCTCTGTTCCACGTCCCAGACTGGTGGCTAATGCGGGTTACTGCTACCACCTAAACATCTGCCCTTCTTCATAGCAGGTTTTGCGCTTCAGAGGCAGGTAGGAGGCAGCTCGATTTTCTCTTTAATACTACACAGAGAATTTGCAAACTGCCTCAAGTTCCTGGGAGAGGAAAGGTGCAGGACTATTATGGGAATTCTTTGTTCTTACAATAGGAAGCAGTGAATTACCAACAATCTCTGCTTAAAACAGGGGACTCATTTGCTGCTGATCTAACATGACCCCAAACTCGACTGTAAACGTTAGCCTTAGCTTCTACAAGGATTCCACTGAGCTTCCCTCAGAAAAAGGGTGGAGAGGTGGAAATGGATGTGCCCGAAATCCAATACAGGAAACCCACAAACAGCCTGAAAAGCCTCCAGGTTTCCTCCTCCATCATGCGGTTCTGCTCTCCCTCACATCTTTCTGCAGTGCCATGCGTGTGCTTAAAGAGCTCAGAGCTTCCACCAGCCCTGCTGAATCCAAGGGAGTTTACACAGCTCAGCCCGCCCTATGACCAGGTAGCAGCAGGGTGGGAGAGGACCTGGCGAGTCCAATCCCTGCAGGATTGTGGCTAATTCCATAAGTGCGATAAACTGGAATTACAGGAGCTTTTCTCCTCGGTTTGAGCCCCACAAGTGCCATTTTGCAGCGAGGACAGCAGAGGACACCACATCTGCTCCGACTACAGGTGCACAGACCGTTTGCTGGGTGAAAACCCTATTGAGGGCCCCACACTAGACACCTACCCAAGCATCATCCACACGGGAAGCCTGTCCTGGGCAGTTTCCCATTCCCAGCTCTCTGTAGGGTATTTCAACCTGATAACGAATGCCAACTGCATCCTTGAGAACTCCACCTTTGGGCTGCTGCATACCCAGAACAGGGGATAAGAATGGGAGAGAGGAGTTAGACCATTGGGAAACAGCAATGCAAGAAGGGAGTGTGGGCAAATGGGAGCTGGAGGCCAGAAACCTGACTGCAGCAAGCAAAAGCTAAACTTGAGGAGGAAAAGGGATGGGGTGAGCGTGGAAAAATCAGATGCCAAGCGGGGAAATGGGTAGAAAACAAGTGCTTTTGGGGCAGAGCTTCCTGTAAGTCACACCAAGAGATGCAGCGTCTCTTATGGGGAGGCTAAAATAGCTCAGTGCTCCAGAGCTGGCTGCTTCACAAACATCCCCTCTTGCAAACAGCACGGAAAAGAGGCCAAAAGCTTTAAAATATACATAAAGGAGATCCAAGTCAGCCCTCTGCTGGCAATAGGATCAGCTGGAGCTGCAGGAGCTGCCCCCGGAGGGGGCTCAGCACCCATCCTGCTCAAACCCCAATGAGCATCCTCTTGCTCCGACGGTGGGGAAAAGAGCACCAAAGCCAAAGGCATCTCTCGGAGGGGTTGTGCTCCCTTCTTTAACCTGCCTTCTCACTTCAGCTCAGGTTAAGCATCATTGCAGTCAGTTATGAAGAGGACACATGCCCTCTGCAGTGCCACGGCCCCCAGTTACACAGGGTGATGACAAGCAGGGCCCTGCCTGGGAGTGAGGAACAGGGATGTGCTAGGCACAGGCAACATCCCAAAGCGTGGAAGGCACCATGCTGGGAGACCAGCACCTCTCTCACATGGAACTCGTAGAGCCTGTTTCCCACCATCACATTCTGTACTACCATTTCCCCCACAACAAGGGGAAGATCACCCAACCCTCCCTGTCCATCCTTCCATATCCAGGTGAGCAGAGCGTCCTCTGCTCCAGGCTCATCCTTGCTCACAGACAGCATGGCACGCACCTCATCCCTGTGCCAGGCTTTGGGAAGAGCTGCTCTCTGCTGCAGCCCTGTTCCTCCATGGTCTGAGCTTGTGTCGGGGTTACACACTGCTCCCTAATGCAGTGAAAGCAGCAGATTAACTTCTCCAGACTCTCTCTCTCTCCAAGCTCACACCCTCAGCGCTCCATTCCCGAGTCACAGGGTCACTTTTCCACATGGATTAACCAGCTCAGGTCCTCCTGAAGCACACGCAGCACAACCCAAAGCCCCAGACACGACCTGAGTCCCCATCACCCATTGAGAAAAGGCTGGGCTGCTATCTGCTCATCTGACCGCGCTTCTGTGATGCCTATTGAGAGCTGCTATCCGACACAGGCTAATGCACCATGTACACCTGTAACTCATTCAGGGAATAAGAAAAGGATGCTCTGCTCTATTGTGTAGCAGAGAAGTGGCCCATCTGCATAGAAGCCGCCTGCCTTTCTCCCCCCGCAAACAGAGTAAGGTAAAAGCATCCATCAGAATTCATAAGATGCACCCCTGGAGTAAAAGATTGATTTGATATTAACAGATTCGTGCAGAGACTATAAAGTGATCAAGGCAGAACACTGACACCTCGGAGGCATCGCAGCCCTGGAAACCCACTGGCAATGCAGGCTGGCATCGGTGCAAGCAGCACAGACCCCCCCCCCCTCCCCTTCCCTCCCTTCCCACACAGCCGCACGCATCCAGAGACAACTTTGGGAGCGGCAGGCGGCACTAACTCACTGTCTGCCACCTAAACCCCTGTGTCAGCTCCTCGTCTGGCACCCGCAGCCCCACGCAGCACCAGCGCATCGCTCGCCCCAAAACCACTAACGCAGAGCATCCCCTCAACACAACGGGACACACACACGAAGTCTCCAGGAGGTCCCAGAACCCTCCAGGAGCCCCGCACCGCGCACAGCATCCCCCATGAGCCTTATGGAGACCCCCCTCCTCAGCCGCCCCCCCCAAGGCATCAATGCAGGTGCTCCTACCTGAGTGTGGCGCTCTCCCCTTGCCGCACTGTCACGTTGTCCATGGCTTTGGGGAAGGTGGCATCTCCGCTGCGCACGGGCACTCCTGCGGGCACAAGGAAGAGCAGCCTGAGACAGAGGACGACTAGGCACCTCCAGGGCAGGGCTAAGCACCCACCGACCCCCATCCTGGGCAGCAGGGACTTTTCCAACAGGCAAAAAACACACCCGACCAGGCCACCGGGAGCGAAAAGAGAAGGGGATGAAGGGGGAGAGAGGAGGGATGGGGTGCGTGTGTGTGGGGAAGGAGGGGAGCAAAACCACCGGGGCCGAGCGATGAGGAGCTCCACGGAGATCAGGAGAGCCCCCGGCAAGGCAGGATGCGAGCGCTGAGCCTGCCGAGCGGCATCCGGAGGGAGTCCCCAGTATCCTTGGGTGAGGGAGGAGGACGGGAGGGCCGGAGGGGAGGAGGAGGAAGAGGAGGAGAGAAGATGCAGTGCAAGAGATGAAGGTCACAGATGTGTGCCTGCTCCAGACGCTACTTTAAGATTCATTTGGGCACGCGCTGCGGAGATCTGGCATCAAAAGTTTATAACCCAAGGAGGAAACGTGGCTCTGGCACGAAAGGGAGGGCGGCCATAAACCCAGTCAAAAACAGGGGAGTTTGGCTGTTTGCCGGCTGCTGCTCTTTGAAATGATAACGGGAAAAGGAAAACAAAGCCCCTAAAACACCCGAAAGCTCCCCGAAATGCCGGTTCTGTCGCAAGATCGAAACTTCCCCGCGGAGCTGCCGGCGATGTTTCCCCCCCCAGGCCGGGGACGGGATGCTTCTCGGCTCCCAAAAGTGGGTCTCCAGAGATGTCCCCCCTTCAGCTGAGCAGCGAGGAGGAGGAGAAGGAGGAGGAGGAAGGGTGTCGGGACCGCGGCGGCAGCAGCAGCATCCCGGCCCGGTCGGGCGGCAGCATCCCCGGGCGCGCAGGCGGACTGCCCGCCGTTGTCATGGCAGCGGCTCCATCCCTGACCGGCGATCGGGCTCCCGCACACCCCGGTAACACCCGCACGAACACACACACACACACACACACACACACACACACACACACACACAGCGAGGCGGGCGGAGCGCGCTTCACCCGCCAGCCTTTAACCCCCGCCGCACCGAGCTCCCGCAGAGCAGCGGCACCGAGAGGCTCCCACCAGCCCAAGGGACTGCCCCCCCCTTTAACTGCTTCAAGCCCGCACGTCTCGCCCGGCTCAGCACCACGATGCTGGTCCCCTCGGCCACCACAGCGCCCTTGCTGCATCTTTCCCTGCATCCCTAAAACCAATCAGGTTGGAAAAGATCTTTTAAGATCCAGTCCAACCATTCCCCAGCACTGCCAAGGCTAACCCATGGCACTGAGAGCCTCGAATAGCCTGTTCCAATGCCTGAGCACCCTCTGGGGAGGGAGTTGTTCCTCAGCTCCATCTAAACTTCCTCTGGTGCAGCTTGAGGCCGTTTCCTCTCACCCCATCCCTTGTTCCTTGGGGGCAGAGACCAGCCCCCTCTTGGCTCCATCCTCCTGCCAGGCAGCTGTAGAGAACCATAAGGTCCCTCCTGAGCTTTCTCTTCTCCTGACTAAACCCCCCAGGCCCCTCAGCCGTTGCTCATCACACTTCCATCCACTTGTTAATGCATGGTTGAATTCAGGGATGGCTCCCCTGTGGCTGGGAGCCTGTCTGCAGGCAGGGCAGTGAGAAACAAGGTCCTGCTGACACATATTTGCCCCACCAGTTTGTTGTGGAAGGGAGCTCCAGAGGATCTCCCTACTCCATATCCCTGCTGTCCTCACTTCCGGACACAGACAGCCTTGCACTAGGATGGTTTTCCACCCCATCACTCCAAACAGGGCAGTGCTTGACATCAGAGTGCACCAACCCCTTCCCTGGTCCCCCTGCAGTCCTGTTATGCACAGGAGGTGGTCTTGGAGACATGAAGAAACCATCATTTACCTCCTCAAGCAGCAACTGAGGGCACCAAGACCTCAGTGACCATCCAGACACATCCATCTCTGTGCCTACAAAAGGAAACCAACCTCCCATTGCTACCTCCTTGCATTGTGCTGTACAGTTCCTCATCCCTAAGTCGAGACGGGCATGGTCCTCAACTGGATGCATTCCTACTCAATATAACATGCCCCTTTCAGGAGGAATATAACAACCAGTGAAAGAGTTTAAGCTATTTTGGGGCCCCAATCTTCTCCAGAGACCCAAATACAGCTTCTACAACTGATCAAGAGGTATTTGCAAGGATTTTTCAGTGATTTCAAGACAAATTATCAGCACTAAAGATCCTCTCTATATAGCAGTGGGATGCAGAGACCCTAAAGACACTGCTAGCCACAGGCTAGCACTGCAGAGATGTGTGCTGACTCCTGGCACCAGCTTATGGCTGCAGGCATGAGAGGGATGCTGACTGCAGCTTGGATAAATAGGACAGCCCAGGAGCCAAGGGAAGTGCAGGGAAAAGCACAGGGATGAGTTTTCCAGCTCTTCTGATAGAAAATTGCCTTAACCCTGAATACACAAGCCAGCTGCTTCAATGCGAAGCATCCTTTTGGGGGGGAAGGATGGAGAGGAAGAACACCCCATCTCCTTCCCGATGTGCTCCCACCTTGGCACAGAGGAGCCATGGCTGCTGGCAGAGAAGGAGCAGCAAGGAGTGAGCACAAACCCATCGCAGCTCCCCACAGTGAGACAGCCTGAGCCTGCTCCAGCAGCAGGGTGAGCTCCAAGGGGGAGGATGCTGCAGTGACCAGAAGCTGTGCTGGGTTCAATAGTGCTCACCCCTTGAGAGAGGAAGCTGTAGACATAGAGCGTGTGTAGCAGGAAGCCTGCCAGAGATGGTGTAATTTAGCAAAGGGGAGATTTAAAGGGGGAAAAGAGCCTGTCTGCCTCAAAAGAGCCTCTGAGGAGGCTGCAGAGATGCAGACACATGTAAAGGCAAGGTATAAACTGACAGACAGGGAGCTGAACTGGCATATATGGGGCATCCAAAAGGGAAGAGAAAGGGAAGGGAACGTTGTCCATATTTATGGAACAGAACCTGCCTAACTGGGTAGGACACAACAACCTGGCACCGCTATGCAGGTGGTATGCCTCAGTGAAGCCCCTTTGGGCACTCAACAGCGGGAGCAGGCAGTCAAAGAGCACCCTTTCCTGCCTCTGTCTTCTGGCTCACCCCATCACAGTTCTGGTTAAAGCTACCTTCTGAGGAAGCACACTGCCACCAAACAGAGGGAGCAAGCTGGGACATGGGGGAGGAAAGGGCAAAGGGAAAAAGAACTCAGAATCCAGGAGGGTACAAAACGTGGACGCAGCAGACATGAAAGCAGAGCCACTTCTGTGCCCAGACAGTTTGCAGACCAGAGGTTGCATGGGGTGGCTTTAGATCAGGTCCATGTCTAAAAATACCAGCTAGCTGAGAGGCTGGCACAGGCCCTGAGGGCATCAGGCATATGGCAGCGGCTGATCCTGCTCCTCAGAGTGACGTTAACAAGTCCTGACCTTCTCTCATCATCCCAGAGGCTCAGAAAGGAACTGAGATTGCAAGGACGAGTCCCTCCACCTCCCAGCCCATTGTCAATCTCCGCTTCTATCAGTGGTGCGGTTTGGTCTCCATCTCCCTCCAAGCTTTCTCCCTCATTGCTCTCATCAGGAGCTTGCAAATGCCAAGAGTCCAGGCTTGGAAGTAATTAGTGAGGGACCAGAGCCCATTGTGGGGCAGGTTAGTGGCAGCACTGCTCCAGCACCATACTGGGACCAATGTACAGCAACACTGGGCTTTATTCTGCAGCCCCACCACTGCTCCACGTTTATTTTCCCCTTCTCCACGCATCTTAGGGCATGCTGGGATGCTCTCAGTCCATCTCCCTTAAGATGGATGCAGTGAGGGACGGAGACTGCAACAACACCAGGACCGCACACACTTGGGTAGCCTTAACTGCTCACCAGCACCCTCTGATACACCGCCTCTTCCTAAAGGATATTGATTCTCTCCTCTGGCAGGTTAAAGCCATTCCCCTTTTCCTGTCCCTACATCCCTTGTCCAAAGCCCCTCTCCAGCTTTCTTCTAACTCCTTTCAAACCAGAAACAGATGCTCACAGCTTAGGACCTTCCCACAAGCACCCTGCCTGGGGAGAGGAACACTATGAAGCACATCCACTTTTCGCACCAGGACAGCATCATCTCCCGTGGTGAGAACAACCAACCACCACGTCCTTGTCAAAGTGCAAAGCACAGTCCTCAGCAGGCAAAGACAACTAATTCTTAAGGAAAATAGAATGGAAAATGGTTTTCTTTGCCTTTTTTTCCCCTAAAATGAACTTTGAGCCACTCACAACTGAAGCAACCCATCGAAGCAAAAACCCAGCAGAGCTGGAGGGGAAAGCAGTCCTTGGAGGACCTGGCCTTGTTTAATCAAAGAGCTAATCCTTCACCCTCCAGCACTGGTGGAAGTTCCCAGATCTCCCTCTGGAAAGCCCAAAGAAGCTGTTTCAAAGCTCCTTCCCAGTCCCTGTCTGCAGAGAGCTGCTGGTGCTTCCCAAAAACCGGGGTCATTCAAGGCATCCCTCTCCTGGGGCATGTGAAATCTCTATTCCTGAACATCCTGGCTACACTATCTGGCCAAGATACACATAACAACTCCATGGTGAATAGAGAGCGCTGTATCTTGTTGGTATCCTGCTACGTGCAGATGGCATCTGGGCTCGGGGCTATGAGATTTTTAACTAATATCTTTCTGCACTACTATCCCCTCCTCCCTTTTCTCCCACCTCCTCCTCCTTTCCACCTCCTCTTTCTCTCCATCTGTCCCCATCCCTTCTCTTCTCCACCTTTTCTCTTGCACACTTGCAGCTGCTAATTTTTCCCCAGCGTATTTGGCACTGCCTCCAGACACCTCTTCCCCCACAGCCCTGCTTCTTCCTTTCCCCAGTTGCTGCCAAACAGTCTCCATTTCTTTACCCTGTGCACGCACACCCTGGCACAGCAGGGAACCATAGAATCATGGACTGGTTTGTGTTGAAGAGACCTTAAAGCTCATCCAATTCCAACCCTCTGCCACGGGCAGGGACCCCTTCCACTAGAGCAGCTTGCTCCAAGCCCCTGTGTCCAACCTGGCCTTGAACACTGCCAGGGATGGGGCAGCCACAGCTTCTCTGGGCACCCTGTGCCAGCGCCTCAGCACCCTCACAGGGAAGAGCTTCTGCCTTATCTCCAACCTGAACTCCTCCTGTTTCAGTTTGAACCCATCACCCCTTGTCCTATCACTACAGTCCCTGATGCAGAGCCCCTTTCCAGCATCCCTATAGCCCCCTTCAGACACTGGAAGCTGCTCTGAGGTCTCCACACAACTTCTCTACCCCAGGCTGAACAGCCACAAGCTGAGCATCCTCCAGTACGTTGAAACCGGGGTGCAGCAAAGCATCCCCCCATTCCTCAGATCAAAGCTTTGGGAATGCTATTCAGAGCTGCACTGACCGCTGCCCAGGCAATGGCACACACACAGCTCTCCCCCTCCATCCCCCTGCCTCTCTCCAGCAGGATTTATTTCTCCCACTTAATTTTCCCAGTTGTTTTATCTCGGTTTATCTTCACACTCAATCAGGCTCTCTGTACAAAGGGAACTTTTATTTTCTCTGCTGTTACATTTAATGCATTTTATCGCAGGAATTTAGCAAACAGAAAAACACACTGAGGTAATTGTGACCAAAAAAAAACACAGCTTATTCCTCAACCTGATCGTGGTCGTGAGCTCTCCTGGGCAGAAAATGCAAACTCAAGACCCATTCTCTTCCCTAACGCCCAACTGTGGGGCTGATTTAGCAATGAACACCCCTCCAACACTGTCCTCGCAACCTAAATGCATGGGTAAAAGCTCCCATCTTCCATAAAATCCTTCTAGGATCGTGCAACCCCAGCTGAAGCAGAGGTGTATGCATCCCCAAGGCCAGGATGGACAGGGCTTGAAGAAACTTGGTTTAATGGAAGGTGCCCCTATCCATGGCAAGGGTTTGGAGCTGGATGAGCTTTAAGGTCCTT